GCTGTATGCTAGTGTTTCAGACTTTCACCGTGCGAGCATAAAGGTTCACTGCCCGCAACTCTTAAGGCGACTGCAAACCAAAAAATAGAAAAGGAAAGGTACGCTTCACTCTGTTTTTCCATCCAATCCCGTCTACTCCCCCCTCTCCCCCAGTGCTCCCATGCCATCCCTCATCCTCTTAGGGGAGCACGAGAGCATGCAGTGGAAATAACTGAGCCAATAAAGACACTGCCAGGATCTATCCACTCCCTGCCCCTCACATAGTTACTGAGGGAAAGAAAGAGCAGTGAGGGATCTTGGAGAGGGGGGAAGAGAGAAAGAAATAGTCCTTCTCTAATATGACTGCACCGTGGATAGAGGAGGTGAAAGGAGGGTGGGATGCAGGAGGGTGTGGGCTTGAGAGAAGATGAACGAGGGAGAATGAAAAAGGAGGGCAGGAGAGAATGAAGATGGAGAGCCTCTGATAGTGGGAATATAGTTCTGGGAGGGAACATGTGCACAGACATATGGACCCCGCCCTCCGTGATCCCTACCCAGGAGTGCATGTGACAGAGAGTGGCCAGTCGTGGTGTACCCCCTGGAGGGTTTCCCCAACAGCTGTGGATCTTTTCCAGTCTCTAAAAGCAAGACTCCCATACATACTGGCTTTGTGAGTGCAGCACAAAGCTCAACTGTAAGTCCTCAGCTGTAATCAGGCCGGATTACCTTTACACTCATTTTTAATTAGAACTGAGGACCGGCTTGAATGGAGGAGACCCACTTCATATTTTAAAGTGGGGTCCTATTAAAATATATGGAGCAGGTGCATTAAAAAAAGAGGGGCAGAGTTGTGGTTGAACAGAAGGTGAGGCGAAACTTTCGACTGCTGACAGGATAAAGCTGGTAAGAGCGAGGCCTCGCATCTCGTAAATCATGGAACGTTTTCAGACCACCATATGATACCGGTTGACTAGCTCATTGATCCTCCTTTCCAGAGATGCTCCCCCGCCGAGAGCTGGAGCTCAGCCAAACCCACCCACCACGCACAATATGTGTGATTGTAATGGATCACACGGACACACACACACACTCACACCAGCCGGTGAAACTTGGACTAGTCTAACCAGGTCAGGTTCAGAAGCCTTTGTGTTCTCTGTCATTTAGCTTAACAACCGCACAGACAGTGATTTGAGATGCGTCCAATTTATCGTCGCAGCCCCTTCTCCCTTCAAGGCTCTGAATTTTACAACGGTATCTCAGACGTGGATCCTTCATGGCAATCAATTTTTTTATTGTTTTTTTTGTTTTCCCTGTTTTATGATGGAGCATTTATGATCTTGTCTCTCAGGGTTGTCATCACAATTTAGTCCTACCAGACGGGGATATGAATGACTCATATGCATGAGAACTGGAGCATTTGCATCGCCTCTCATCGAGACTGTAGTCGCATGCCAATGCATGGCCACAGAGGAGCTGTGAACAACTGGATGAGAAGACAAATCTGTTGCCCTAATGTAGCTCTGGGGAGGCCTGTGAAACAGCATCCTTTCATGTATAATAGACAGACCCTCAGAATAACTGCATCTTTCTTGTCAATCTTTTTCCTCTTTCACACCATCACATGCACACCTTTGAAGGAAAGGTCTAGAAATGTTTATATGCAATTACATGCATTGGCAAGTTTCAAACAGAAAACTTTGGCAGAGAGATTTATCCCTGCCTCTTAATCGATGACATGTATTGATGATGACAAAGCGGATCAAGCGGGTATCTACAAGTCGATAATGATGAAAAAGTGTTTGTAAAGCAGCAAAGATGAAGTGGAGCTGAGACAGTGTTGGTGTGCGATAAGGACGTATTCTTGCATGCAATCGATGCATCTGACAGCTGTACCTATGGCAACTATTAAGTTTCTCTACCAATGCCTGTATTCAAAGGGCCCTTTTTTTCTTTTCTTTTTGGAAATTATGCATTCTATTATTTTATTGACTGGTTATATGACTGGTTTCATAAATCAAGAAAAAATACTGTGTGCAAAATTAAAAAAAGACTCCTACAGCTAAGGTTACAATGACACAAATCAAAATGAACAAAATATTGATATTGAATTGTGTGGGTTGTGCCCCATTTCAGAGACCATCCTCCAGAGGCTGGATTTGAAGACTAATAGTTTCCCAATTTGAAGGCTTTATCAAATGCAGCCTAAAAATGCATTCTACCATTCCTGAGCAACAAAGGATCCAATTGGTGGATCCCTCTCAGACCAACCTATCCCAGGATTCATTAATTCAGAATGGTGGTCGAAGGTTGTTGGCTTTGAATCCTGGTTCAACCTCTGGCTGGAGTTTGCATGTTCTCCTTGTACATGCATGGGTTTTCTTAGAGTTCTCCAGCTTCCTCCCACAGTCCGAATACATGGAAATTGGGGATAGGTAAATTGGAGCTTCTAAATTGTGTGTAGGTGAATGTGAGCATGGTTATTTGTGCCCCAGCTGCCTGGCCATGCTGTCAACGACAGCTGGGATTGGCTCTGACCCATAGAGGAGATAAGAATGGATGGATGGTGTTCAAAAACAAAATGGTTTAAAACGATTTGTTGTCTTACTGCACATCCAATGGTGGAGGTGGTTTCCAAAACTGTTCATCCAACAAGCACTTTTGAAGAAGCTTAAGGCATCACTTAGTTTATACAATATATCCTGACAGGGATATGAATGAGCCAAATTTAATGGCAATGCATCCAATAACTGCCAGGAAAGATGTTTCATTCAGAGACACAAACAGATAGTGGCGCAAGAAAAAAAGTCAGGGGGTTGTCTTGTGACCATGTGAACTAAACTTTGTATCAAACTATCATTGTGGAAAACGTTGACCCACTGGTTGAACTATAGGAAAAGCTAGAAATCATTAAGATACATCTTTTGGGATCCACAAATATCATGGCAATCCATCCTATACTTTTTGAGATATTTCAGTCTTATTTGGAAATTTAATGAGACAAAAGACATACACGCACTCACACGCATACACACACACACTCCTGCCGACTCCTGCTACTTAACTATATGTCCAACAGACAGCAGCTGAGTGACCCTGTTTCCACCAATGCTGTCAATTCACAAAGGTCACACGAGTAGTTCGAAGGTTGCGACAGGACTGGACAGCTGCAAAAGTCATCAATGCAGCCGGAAAACATTTTCCTGTTCCGTTTATTCTGAAGTCAGAGGCCTTGCTGGGAGTAACTAAAGCTATTTTTCAGACATTAACTATACGGAGCATGTCTGCACAATAGGGTCTGGACTTTTTCTGAAGGTTGCCTTTCACACATGAACAAAGCAGTAGGAGAATCTCTGCTCAGACGTGTTCACAACAACACAGAAATCTGTGGAGCGTTCAGGTGAGTGTTGGTGCAGCATACAGGGCATAATGTATAAATTCCGCAAAGGAGCTGTCAATGTCAATTTTATTTATATGGCACATTTGAAACATCTTTCCTGACCAAAGTGCTTCCCAACAAAACAGCAACACGCAATACATGGAAATACTAATTGTAAAAATAAAATATGATAAAATGAAATAGAATAATATAACATCAAATCTGCTGGGATTAAAATGTTCTCAGTTCAAAAAAAAGGCCAAAGAGAGGAGATGTGTTTTTAACAATGATTTTAAAGTTTGCTAGAGGGGGAGCAAATCTAACATGGAGCGGTAAGCTGTTCCACAAGTTTGGGGCAGCTGCTGCAAAGGCTCGATCACCTCTGGTTATGAGCCTCGTTTTAGGAGTTCAGCTTGGTAAGGCAGCGCCAGTCCATTTAGAGTTTTAAAGAGTTTTACAATAGATCCTGTGATGGACAGGAAGCCAGTGGAGGGAGCGTAACACAGGTGTAGTCTGCAGCAGCATTTTATAACATGATTTGTTTACATCACATTGACACCTGCGTCAGCCTTTATCACCTAAAGCTCTCTTAACTTCTTCATCGGTGTCTACATGTGTGGCACAAACTCACCCTAAGATATTTTAGTTTTTTTCATCTCTGTCTGTCACAGAAATGTCATCAACATGCCCACTCGCTCACGGTGAATCTGGGGGGAGATTGCTGTATTCTCTCTTATTCTTTTACTAGGGGGCTGGCAGGAGAAACTTTGGAGAATGTTAAGAGATTATCTGGAGTTCAGTGCATGTCTGACAGCATCTAAAGTTGTAATTGCACCCACTTTCTTATCAACTCAACTCCATTTACACTTTTTCTTTTTATGAGGTAGGGGTTAAAGCTAATGAGAGAGTGACAGATAACTGCTTGGTTGAGCAGCTGACCTCTCGACAGAAGGCAGAAATAAATATCTCTACGACGTAAGCACTCCTCAGCGCCTATCAGGCCACAGCAGCGCTAGATGCATGCATAAATCAGACCAAAGTGATATTTATTTGCCTCCCGAACTATTACTTTGCTGACAATAAAGGTGGAATTTATGCAGCTATTAAGACAAACGTGTCGGAATGGTCACGGGCTGCAACCGAGGCCACTTTATGGATTGGAAGCAATAAAAGCCACTGATAAAACAATACGGAAGCTGTGGAGCCGGACTTCAATCAAACGTATAGTATGATAAGCAAGTTCATTAATTTTAATGGAGTAAATTCTTCTCAATAATATACCAGCGGGGCCACCATCACTCGCAGCTCCTGTATTAATGCAAGGCCTCAACCTCACAGAATGGAAGCAAGTCTTCCTTAAGACTTTAGGTGGAGAGAGGAAGGGGAAGAGAGGATGAAGGTAGAGGGATATACAGGGTGAAGGCCTGAGATTGGAGACTTGCTCTAGGCTCCTTTCCTATTGCTCAGTGGAGAAGGTGATTTCACTGTGGGATCTCCCAGACAGGGAAGGGAGGGGGAAACAGAGAGGGGGGAAGGGTGTGTTGGGGAGCTGAGAGAGAGACAGACAGGGGGAAGAGATAGAGACAGGAAAAGGACAAGACAAAGTAATGAGAAACTGAGACACAAGCGCAGAGAAAGCAAAGAGAAGGTGAGGGAGGGAGACTGGGGATTTGGTTTGTGCAGCAGCGTAGAGAGAGAGAGAGAGAGGGAAGGAGAGAAAGAGGGGAGGGGGGAAGTTGGACACGGACAATCTTGCACAAACTTTTTTTTTCTTTTCTTCCTCTCTCCTTTCTCCGTGGAAGGAGAAGCCTCAAGAAAAAAAAGTCAGAGGGGACACGAAAAGTCACACTGGATTACATGTGATTGCGTTTGGACTTTTCCAATCCGCTCCTTGGATATTTACGCACATTTATTCACGGATTAATGTGGACGCAAATCTGTGGATTGATCTGTAGTTGAAGGTATGGCTTTTATTTGTGGTGTGAAAGCGAGAGCTTAACTTTTTAAGGTTGCAGTTTGAAAAGTGGCTGTAGTGAAACTTGATTGTGAAACTTTTGCTGCAACAGGCTGCAGACTGCTTTATACAGCACATGGAAATAAACAGATTATATTTTATACATACTATTAAATACTAATACCAGAAAGCCGCTGCAATTTCATCATAGAGCACAATAGAAACACACACACACACACTCCCTCGGGAGATTATCCCAGTTTGCACAATAGAAGACTGTGATTATAGGAACCAAAAACCATAAAATATAAGTTTGATAAACCCACTCTCTCCCAGAGGAGATCATTACAGTTATTTCTGCTGCGTGGCCATTGTAGATATATGAAAGTATTTTATTCTGTTTCGGACTTATGAAAAACAAACAAACTTATGAACCAATGTTAGTTGTATAGAAAAAAAGATGCTGATTTGCCTTTACTCTATAATCAAGTCTTCATGCGACACACAATGTGGTTGTTGCTGTCAATCTTTGTAGTTTGCATTCAACCCCAGTAGCAAAATCCTCCTATGAGCAGTTTTGTTTCTGCTACATGCGTATCATTCAAGCAAAGTCATGTCTGAGTCTGAGCATTTGCACTGTTCTGAGATCAGTACCCGAACTCCCCAAAACTATTTCTCCCCAACCTGGGAAAGAAAACAAAGTGCTGAGGAGGAGGATTGAATGCCACAGACACATCTGCTTTCCTCATTACTCAGCCATCCCATGTTCCCTGGCTTTTGCATCCTGTCATTGCACCCCCCCACACTAAAAACACCCGAGGGGGCTCTTGAAAGCTTTTGTGATTAGTCTTTCCCTTTGCAAAATTTGAAATTGCTCAATTTTGCACCTATTTATAATCACCAGGGAGCTACTTCTTCAGAGAAGTGTCTGATCAGATCACCTAACTCCAACAACTGAGGGTCATTCCTGCAGTAACAGAAGGAATATTGCCCTGTTAACATTACAAGCGGCTGTCCTTGAATATAACTTAATGTTAAGTGTTGCTCACTTTAACTTGCTGCAGGCTACACGTACGACGTGTGCATCCTTGCTTCCTGTGTTATGGGCCTGCAGCCAATTGTATCATCCACAGTTCGCCTGCGGCAAATCGTGTCATCCACTTGACTCTTTGCTTTTATTCAGTTAAGCAGTGAAGTGAGCGTTGGGCGATCAGAAATGTGAAGTCAAGCTGATGAAAAGCAGCAGGTCTTTTCCCTGCTCAAGGCTGACGGCCACGCATAGAGGGTCCCACACTCCAACTAGTTCACTTCATCACAGTGGAACTCACTTTACGTCATTACTTTATGCAAGTGCAAACAGTCTCTTCTCAATCTGCAGCTTTGCTGGTCTGCTTCTCAGTCAGGATAATTATTCATGTAAAAGCCTTGAACACTGCCCAGAATGTAAGACTAGTAAAAACTTGCATGTCAAACAAGTTTGGATGTTGCCTTCACGAGTTCCTATTGCTCCTGGCCATCGGATATCTGGAGTGTTTTATCTAGGCCGGGACAATGCAATGCAGTCTGAGCTTTAGCCTGAAGCACATCTGAAGCTCCAGAGGGTGTAGGTGTAAATGTTGCTGCGTTCATGATGACAAGTCAGAATTAGAGCATGTAGAAGCTTCTGACAGTCCAAAACACTATCAACAAAAAATGCTCTGATAGTTCTTACAGTATCTGACAAATCCAGGTAAACCTGACAGTGTTTTGACAGATGTCAATGTCCAATCTGTCTGTCCACCAACTTGGTCTAGACTGAAATGAAGCGGAAAAAAACATTCATTTTCTCCGCAGGAATAATTGCAATTGTGACCTTTGGTGACACTTTGACTTTTCTTCCAGCACCATCATCAGATCAACATTTAATGTGCATTACTTAACTAATGACATAATTACCAGTGTCAACTGCAATTAGCATTTAGAAATGATTAGCAAATGTTTGTTGCTAACACAGCACCATTTTTAGACATGAACTTTAGAAAATGTCCAGAAGATTTTCCAGAGTGTCTGGGTCACAACAGGAAAATGTCTGGAACATTTAGGAGAGGGGTGGCACATGTGTAGACCATGCAGGAGGCAGGACATGACATGTAATTCTGCTGCGGAAATCCTGTATTTTTGTTAAAAGCACATCAACAACCGCATCTTCTACGTGTATGGGACGTCTTTATCCTCCTGTGATATTTGTATTCTTCTCAGTTTTGAGTCCATTGTCCATTGCTAGAAACGTCATCAACACGCCCATTTTTCTTGTGGTGAATTTTCCTATAGCAATCTCACATGGGCTCGCTTGCACAATTTATGGATATTTTACCAGGGGGCTAGTGGAAAAGTTATGGATCAACTGACTCTGAAATGTGTGTTCACATGCAGTTCAATGAAATATGAAGGCAGATTAAGATTGGTGAACATGGTGTGGCGTTTTGACAGGTTAACACCAACATGTTGGTATTCAGATATTTACTTCTTTGAATGGAGCATGGTGTGAAATGGCCTATTTAGTTTTTTCTCTCTACCAATTTGTCTGACAGTCTTTTGTTTAGTCTCTCCGGCCACATTTTTGCAACTTCTCTAACCCAAGGATATGAATAAATTCATATGTACCTGTCCACCTATTATTCAAGCCTTTCCTTGTTATTCCTGTATCCCAGTCAACTTTTACCGCAATACCCTACATATCCACTGTGAGAGAAGACTTTCTCCATTGGATTAACTCAGGGTGACGACCCCATAGACCGATCAGGAGATTGTTTTCACAGCATTGCACCAAAACCACTCTGTGGTCTGTGTGTGTTTGTGTGTGTGAGATAGTGCAGGGTAAATTGGGAGCAGATACCCTGTGAGCGAGCTGTCTGTCAATCTTCTTGCTGCAGTATTGCTGGATCAAGAGACAGCTGGAAAAGCAGTGAACCCTGATATATTACATGGCTGATATATTTATGCCAGGTTCTCACATTTGTACCGATTCAAAACAGAATTTAAAATGTTAGCTGCTGTTATTTAATCATCTGTGTCTGGGTGGCTAATAAGCAATCCTCTTGTCTATCCAAAGAGAGGACATGTTTCATTTATCTCTGTCAGAGCGGGTTCCTCTACAAGGCATTCCTCTGTTGGTGCTGTTGTTCTGTAAGCGATGGCAATGATGATGAAATGTGTGACAACAAAAATTGCTAAGCACAGAGCACAAATTGCCTCAATTGTTATGTAGGACAGTATCAGCGCCACTTTTGTCAATGTATTCAAGCCATAAAAAGCACTTGAAACGATTACAGGGAGTCAAGTGGAAAATAGGTCTGGACCCAGAATCAAAATGACTCCTGGAACTACTGAACAGCTCTTGATCTTAAAGCGAGGCATGCTGTCTTCAGTATTTCTTAACATTTTGTCTCTGCATAGTGATTCTCGATGTTGGTCACTATCAGCGCATGTTTCTTCAAGCCCTTTTGGGTTGGAAGACTTTCAAATCTGGCATTGTTTTCCTTCCTGTATTGGCCTCGTACTCAGTGACCTGATCTGCCTGCTGACTGGGCTCATTGCCAGCCCATCGGCCGAGCCCGGTGGCCTGACCCCGCTTTTATCTGCTGTAGTCAGCTGGGTGGTCATGGAGCTGCGGACTGAGTGTGGTGACCTAAAGAGAAAGCGAGACATCCGTAGTAACTCATATCGAGGAAGCCTATTAAATTGTTTTGGATTATTGCCAGATAATAATGACAATGAGCTGTAACTTTTCCTTCAGCCCTTCTTCTCTTGCCTGTGATGTATTATGTATTACTTACTGTGTGAACAATATGTGGCATGAAGCCTGTATCAATGGCATGAAGCCGTTTAAAGCTTTAATTAACCTTCCACCCATTAAACTCTTCTTCTTGCTGTCCAAGTTTACTTAAAAAGGGTCCGTTGTTGTGTCCAACAATTCTGCACACCATAGTATTATTGCAAAAACATTCTGTTCCTTTCATGAAATGCTAACCTGGCCCTTTAAAACATAAGAAAACAAGAAAAGCAACTGCACCTTGAGTCAGCAGTCCCCCTAAAACCTGGATGCATAATTCACAATGTGGGGCATGTCGAGCTTCCCTTGTTATTTCCGAGGATAATTTGAAACCCTGTCCTCCACCAGATTGTCTGTTAGCAGCAGCACACTGCAGGCAGCCAGGTCAGTGTGGTATTCACACCATGTCCTCGGCCGGGCAGGAGCACCACATTGTGTACCCCCGGGGGAGTGTGGGGATCATTTCTCCTGGCGGACGGGACAGGTGTGTGTACAGAGACACAGTCTGCTCGCCTGCCCGCCCTGAGGGCCCAGCTGTACCTGTAAACACTGCAGAGTTATGGGGTCCTTGCACATGTTGAGGGCAAGTCCAGGTCAGATGGGATGTGTTTATGCGAGTCGGAGTGGACGGCGTGTGCATGTGCTCCCATTCTTGTGTGTGTGTTTTAGTACAGCAGAGGGGCTGTGGAGATGGAATACAATGATTATCGAGACGTGGCAAGCATCTTAATCCGTGCAGGAGTGTGTCCGTATGTGTGTGTGCTTGTTGTTAGGCCACGTGGAAGCATCTGGTGCAACACAACCACGGCTCCAATGGAATAGTCTCCAGATGTGTTTGTGGGTTTTGGCCCCACTGTCTGTTTGACTCTGGACCAACCAGTCTGCATGTAAATCATTCTACTTTCATGTGTGCACATTGCTTTGTTGTCTTGCATATGCAGTAGGTTTTTGTTTACTCTCTTCTTGACTTAAACAATGGCTTTATTATTTAGATTTTGTAGTGTGTGTGTGGTTATGTGCTCTACTCATCTTATCTACACCTCTGTGTGTGTGTGTGTTGCAGTTGCCCAGTCAAAGGCTATCCAGATGGACAGGATAATGACTATGATCAGACTTTACAGAGTTACAGTCCCTAATGGAGGACATTTTAGTTAATTCGTATGCCACTAACAAAGCCCACATCACACCACGTAATTAACACATCAACTATGACTGACTCATAAATACACATCAACGTCTACTTAGCCGTCCAGCATTATGTGCAGCTGTCGGCAGTGTTAAAGGACGCCATGCAGACAGGAACACAGACAGGTTCTGACTTTCTCTTTTTTCTGCTTGTTCATCCATCAGCTGGTGGCCGAGGTGAGGTTTTTTTAAAGGAGGACTGAAACCATGTGGCTGCTCTGCTCCTCTCTGACTCTGCTGGCCCTAAGCTTCGGATCGTGTGACACGCTGACATCAGAACAAGGTGAGTTGGTCAAACTCTAACAGTGGTTTTGCATGGGAAGTATTTGGAATTCAGAAGGAACAAGATGCTTTAAAGGTACATTGTGTAGAATTTTGTGATATCTAGTGTAGAAGCTGCATGTTGTTTCTGCCAATAGATCCCTTTCACCTAAATCTTACACACCGGACCTTTAGGGGACAATTCAATAATTCTGGGAAGAGAATAAGATGAGCTTCCATTCCTGGTCGTTTTTTTGAAGCTTTTGCTATTAGCCGTTTAGCCTAGCCTCGCATAAAGGCTGAGAATAGGGTAAAGAGGCTACCTCAATCAGTATGTGTTTGTGTTTCAGTCCAGTGTTAATTATTGGAAAAATGACACGCCACCTCAAGACGGAAAACATGTAAGGTTGGCAAAACTGTTGGTACACGAGTTGCTGACATCATCACTGAACTTAATTTACGATCAGCTCTGTATAGAAGCTCCTCACTGATCACGTCTGATCCTTTTTCTTTGTTCTTGGGTATTATACAAATTTTGGAAAGAGGTGTCAATGTGTTGTCAAAATGACGTAAACACATAAATAAAGCATGTTGTTTAGTGCATCTGTGTTTTCCACATTGCGACTTCAAAGCACACAAACACATCAAAGTCGGAAAAATCAACTTCACAACTGGGGAGACGAGACCTTCTGAGGAGCAATGCTAAGCTAAGCTAACTAGCTGCTGGCTTCAACTTTACATTAAATGAGCAGATAAGGGAGTGGTTTCAATTTACTCATTTTTCTAATCCTTACAAAGGAGAGATTTAAACTTAAATGAATACTCCTTCCAAAATGAATGTGCTAAATTATTAAATCAATAAATAATTGCCTTACATCTGAAGCCTCGATGGAACTGTAAACTCCTTTATTTATCAAACTTTACTGCTTACCGCTCCAAAAGCTGTGAATAAAAGGCAACAAAAACTGCTTTCAAACAACTGTTTCTTGGAAAAGTCCTTACATCGTCATTTAAATGATGAAAAAAATCGTAAAGTTACAAAAACAATGCCTTCTGAGAAGGCATCTAAAGCAATTCTTTTCAAAGTTGATTTTTAAGCTGGAGCCATATGCCTGACCAACTCATCATGCTTTGAAACCCATCTGTGATGTGATGGAACTGTGTCCATCTGTGTCTGTGTGTGCGCGACGGAGCCCAAGGTTGGAGCGTAATTACAGTTAATGTGCATTTGATGCTGGTTGCCGCTGGTGGCTGTGTGGTTAGGTTGGGGCAAAGGGGCGTGTGTGTTTACCATGTGCGGTTGTGTTCCTCTTCATGAGCCTTAAATCAGACAAGCCTTTGCATTTTTTTTAAAGGAGAAACATGAGTTTCAAACGTCTGTGTTGTGCATGACACTGCAAAGCAAGATGAAAGAGTATGTTGGAGAGAACAGGCAGATGTTTCTATTTGTATCCAGGTGTATGTGCATGTGCTACAGAGACAGAAACAGACAACCAAGAAATCAAGAGGCAGAGAGGTGAAGAGAAATCTTTTACTGTCTTGTTTTTTAAGTTTTTTTTGTCATGCTTCTGAATCACATCGTCAGCGTGCTCTCAGGGGCCGACTCTGCAGTATCACTCAGGGGCTGAGAAATCCTCCACAGCTTGTGGTGCTCTGGGGGGAGCTTTGTCAATGAGGGGGGTCCCCCTAGGGAGACCGTTTTCACAGCTTCTCAGATGAGACTGAGTCAGCTTGCAGCTCCCCTGAGTCCTCTACCCTAGTGTTTGGAAGAAAGTGCTTTTTCAAGTGCAGCACAACACCCATCACTACACTTTCACTATTCCTCTGACTCATCCAAATCTCTACTTACTGGTAATTCGCTGACGTTACAGCGGGAAAGCAGGTTTAAGTAAAACTAGCATGGAAGAGTCAAGCTGGGTGATATCACTGCAGTTCTGCAGTGTATCAGCCAGAAAGATTTGTCCTTTCGCTTTGCTTTAGTAAAGTGTTGCTGATATGTTTTTTTCATGCACCTTACTGAGTCTAAAGTAATGGATTTATAGATTGAATTATTTTGACTCAGGCTTCAACTGTCTGAATCTGAGCTGTATGAGTTTTAGTGCCATGAATTGTAGTAATACGTTCATTTACACAGAAACAGAAGTTGGAGAAGATAAGCAGCCAGCAACAGAGGCAGTCCAGGCTGAAATGTTTAAGGCCCTTTCATTTTTTCCACCTTGTGTTATGTTGCAGCTTATACATTATTTCAAGACATTTTATCCAATCACGACAAAGCTAATGAAAACTTTTAGAAAGTTTTGTCTTTAGAAAAAAGGAAACACATTAAAGTATTCAGAACCTATTTTATGACACTTGAAATGTAGCTCAGGTGCCTTCCATTTGTCATCTTTAAGATGTTTCTTCACCTTGATCTAAGTCCACCTGTTTTAAAATCAAGAAATTGATTTGGAAGGGAACCCATTTGTCAACATAAAGTTCCATCATTTAAGGTCTGAAAATGCATATCAGAGCACAAACCAAGCTATAATGTTGAAGAGACTGCCTCCAGAGCTCAGAGGAGGCACAGGAAGATTGGAAAGGTTAGTAAAAGACTGCTGTATGTGGGTTCCCAACAGCCCAGTGGCATGATTCTTAAATGGAGTGTGCACCAGGAGTCTGCCTAGAGCTGGCTGCCTGGTCAAACTGAGCAATCTAGGAAGAACGGCTTCGGTAAAAGAAGTGACCAAGCACTCACTGGTCACTGGCTGAGCTCCAGTGATACTGTGTGGAGATGGGAAAAAAACTTCTGGAAGGACAACAATCATTGCAGCACTTCACCAATTTGAGCTTTATGGCAGAGTGGCCAGATGGAGCCTGAGTGTAAGAAACTACATTTTCTGGTCTGATAAAACCAAGATTGAACTGTTTGGCCTTCATTTTAAGTGTTGAAACAGTGAAGCATAGTGATGGAAGCATCGTGGTGTGGGATTGTTTTAGCAGCAGGGAGACTGGTCAGTATTGAGGGAAATCTAAATGCAGCAAAGTTAACACAGATATCCAGAGCACTCGGGATCTCAGACTGGCTGAAGATTCATCTACTAACAGGACAATGACATCAATTTGTTAATGGCCACCTAATAAATGTTATGGGCACAGTATTCACTCTAATTTTAGCTCTGTTTCGGTCTCCATTCACTCCTCATGGCTAACTGTCTGCATTCAGTTGCCTATATTTATATAGGTTGGCTTCAATGAACAAGCCATATCATGTTAAATGAAGACTAGTGATTTGATCCATTGTTTTAAAATATAAAATAGACTTTGGAAGCCTTATATTTTCATTTTATTAACCATGTCAACATTTGCATGTTAGATGATTGAAACAAATCCCATTGCTGATCGGCCATGTTTGGGGCTGGTGGGTAACCTGCAAGGCGTGACCAGGCTAGTTTGGAGTTTAAAGGAGGCGGTGCCTGATTGTCACTGGCAAGAAAGGAACGTGAGCAAAATGGTTTTAGCTTCCTCAGGGGTGCTGCTTCATGAATGAACCTGTCCCATGATGTCTCATACTCTCCATGGAAAATATGTGTATTGGAAACTACATCACACCTACCTGAAAAATAACCTAATCAGAATGCAATGACTTTAAGCATTAGCTCACTTTTTAAGAATGCAGTCAGATCTGCATAGAAATAGAGTATGCCGGTTTTTTATTCTTTGCATTTTCATATGATGCTCTCAACAGGCATCACTAACCAGTATGAATACCAGTCCCTATTGAGAAAACTGCTGACTTCTACATGTCGTGTCTGCTTTTATTGTTGCGAAAATCTTTTAAATGTGCATGTCCTGAGCCCAGTCTGTGTCTGTGTGTGCTTGTGAGAGTGTAGTGAATGTGGGCCAGAGGCCTACAAGGGGAAAATGAATGAGCTCATCCTTCTGTAAGTGCAGCATTTTAAGCCTTTCCACTCCTCTGTACTGCAGTTTTATCTCTGGAAAACCACCAGGAATGTTCTCTCATGTCTGTCTCATTTGGCCAAGAGGGTGAATGAGACACACACTCTGTCCCTGTCTCCTACCCTCCCTTGTTTAATCACCCTCTCAGTTTGTTACCCCCCCCCCCCCATTTCACCCCCAGATAGGCTACATTGAATCATCCCGTTGACTCATCAAGCCAGCATGCCCCTCTCCTTCCCTTATGTTGCATGTTTTTAACAGCTCTCAGACCTAGACGACTCCCCCTGAGTCTGACTTTCTGCTGATTAGCAGACCAGGTCAATTATCTTGGAGAGCCACATTGTAAAGCACATCGAACAACCACCTGCACACACCACACACTCTCTGACACCGTGAGCCCACTTCTGACCTCGTCTCCCAAATGAAAGCTCTCTGCCAAGTGTTCACTATCATGAAAACAGAGTTAAAACTCTGAGGCAGTCGGTTTCAGTAAACTCTGGCCACAACATGATATTCATAAATTAAGCTATTGATTCCTAAACCGTCTGAAGTTTGTGAAATATCGTTTACAATGCAACAAAGTCACATTCCGTATTGTGGCTGGGATTTTGCACATAAACATTACAAATTTGGTGTATCTTTGTGTTGTCTTTGGTTTAAAGTGTCCTTACTTACTGCATAATGGAACATATAATTAAATCCTCTAGATGTGTCTGACACACTTTACCATCCACGTGAAGTGTAAGTATGTTTGTATCAAAAAGTGGTGTTAAATTTTGCTTAAGACCTAATATTTCCTGAATTTTTATGTTTGGCAAGGGGAGACTTGAGGGAGCACACGCAGCAGTGTACTGCTTGACTGCCAGTGAAGTATCATTACCTGCTTTGGCAAGATTCAAACACAACCGATCAAAGAGGAAGTGAACCCAGCCAAGACCATCCAATCTCTTTAAGGCTACATGCAGCTACTAGCTGGATCCTGGAGTGACACTCATACTTTGAGCTAATTAGCTTGTCAACAAGCAAATGTGTTGCTTTGATCACAGCTTGAGAGGAAATGGAGTTCAACGTCTGCAGTGTGTCCTCTGCCAAAAGGCAGGAGTCCACTAAAATATCATCCATCCACTGAGCTGCTTTATGCAGAAATAGTTCCCATGAGTATGCACAAAATTCTGACATTTTAACAAGTAAACACAGCATTTAGCTTGATTTAGGATTAAAAAATGGATAACAGATCATTTACTAGTGAGATAATCCCACAGGCAAACTTAGGTCAGACAGATTTCAACCTGTTCTTCAGATTTCAGTTATACAGTCGGAGAAAGAATACACTTGCTGCTAATTTCGTTTGATAAGTTTAAGCTTTGCATGTAATATTGAGCCCCATGGTGGAAGAAGAAATCTTCACATGGTGCTTAAATGTTATTGTTGTCAGCAGTCCGGTGCCATGACAGATGTGCAATTGTGCAGAGTAAAAAAAAGACAACAAAACTCTTCAAACCATAGTAAGACAACCACTACTAGGCCTGTGACTCTTGGGCTCTAGTACAAGCAGCCTCCAGGCCTCTGAGGAGCATCATGGCTTTATACCAGAAGCCCCTCTTACAAGACAAAACATAAAGACAAATATCAATTAACAAATCTCTACAAAATATAAAAAAATATTTATATACCCATCAGCATTTCACCTGACTTGGCCTGTCACAGAAATATCACTATGGGCACTGAAAAGAGCATTTCTGTGACAGCAGTTAAAACACCCCTCTGGTCTGGCTTTCATGTGGTACATTCCAGATTCCCTCCTCTACAAAAGGAGTTGGAAACTCCCACTACCTGTTTGCCAGTCGGACCAGGAACTCTGTGTGAAGGTGAGGCAGGGTGAATATCACAGCCAAAGACACATGCACCCAAATTCACTGAATAAATGCTTGTGAGATAAAACTATGTCTTAAAGTTTATTTTCAACCATTGGTTGCAGACTCTGTGTTCAAATACATTTTTGCAAGATTAAATGGTTTATGTGAGTTTATGTGTGCTAGCCTAACATGCTACCATGCTGGCTAATGCTACAGCCATGCTAATGCTACTGAAACTGAGGTTCTGTTTTCACTAGTTCATTTAATCTAAATTGTATGAATTGTTGTTTTCTTTATATAGAGACCCTTTATATTTCAATACTTTATATTTACATTGAGGGGGTCCTCTCTAAGGAGGCCGCCATTTTTTTATAGTAGTCCAGACTGGACAAACTAAAACACCTTTTGAGTTTTATGACAACTGAAGCTTCCACAGGTTCTCTTTCATGTTTGGAAGGGGAGGGTGAGGTGAGGGGTCTTCAGCTGCAACATGCAATTTCAACACTCGATATCACTAAATTCTACTCACTGTACCTTTAAAGGCTGAAGTAAAGGAGATTTTCTGTTAAATACATTTATTGAACTAACTTCTCTGAGCAGTAGTGTGTTCCACAACTTTGCAGCGTAATTTATAAAAGCTGTAGCTCCGATCTTCATTTGGATGTTGTTGGGCACCTCTAATGGACTTGCTGCAGATGATCTCAGTGTTCTAAAGGGAACATAGTTAACTAGAGTGTCAGATATGTTAAGCAGTCCAGACTTATAGTTCAGTGGGCCAGAAACAAAGCAATTCAAGAAACAACAGCACATATAGGATGCCAACTTCATTTCTTTAGGTTAGACTGGAATATAGTCTGATAAGAAAAACATTTCCTCAAGAGTCTGTTCTGGATCAGCAAGTTGCTTTTCCTCAAGTAACACCACCCCCCCATTGCCTTTCCTTATACTCTCCCCGTTTTTTGTTTTCTTCTCCACCTACTTCTCTCTTGTGTTGCTGCCCACTTGCCTCCAGTCAGGATCTCTCTATTCCTGACAGAGCCTTAATCTCGATTCTGTCTGATGGAAATGGGGATGTGATGAAAAATAAAGGAAAAAAGAAAGAGTAAGCAGTGTCGAATGGTAGAATTTACCATCTCTTGACATGAAGATAAGAGCTAGGTGAGTGTGTGAGGCTGCATAAAGTGTACTTTGAGCTGAGTTCAGATAAAGGTTCAAGAAGGACCAGTCCAGTTAAACTATGTGTGTATGTTTGTGTATGCTTGTGTGTGTCTGTGAGTGTGTGTGGTGTGAGGGAGAACAGGATGTAAGACACAGTGTGTGTAATAGGGCTCAGAAGACACTAAACCTATTGATGTTTTCTGTTCCGTTCTCCCTGTTGTATCCGTTACCTTTTCAGGAAGTCACTTTCAATTCAAGCTATTTATTTGACTCTTCGTCTTAAGTTCCTTTCAGCGTCCCACGACACCACTGTTTGACATCTCTTTTTCCACTCTTAGATTTGCAGTTTCGACAGCGATAAGACTTTGACACACTATGCGGTACAGACGGACTGGGGCGTGCTGGGCTCTTTGTTTTCAAACCAAGACGAGCAGAAGCCACAGGGTGTCGAGAGATGAACTTGATAATAGTTGATGAGGCGCTAAGTGTGATTTAATTCTTTCTTGAGTCTTCCTCCGTGAAATTAAATTCCTTAAAATCCTAACTCTTAATTAAAGTCAGTTGGATCTTATTATTTGAGTAATTATATGAGACTCTTTCACCTCGTTTTGATGTGACTTCCAGCCTGGATAAATTGTGCTTGGAAGCAGACAGTGCCTTTGCATGCTTCAAGGCAACTCTCCCTGCAGTGCGCTCCCTGTTTCATCACAAAGAATTTCTCAACAACTTCATTACACTGGATCCATAAGACCAGAAGATAAATGTTGTTTGAAATGCATTATTTTCAATGTATAAGAAAAGTTCCTCTGTTCTTCAGACTCTTCTCTGTCTCCTTATCTTTACATAAAATACACCTTGCATCTGAATTAGAACCTAATCTGTATTTTTATTAGAATGATAATTAACATTAATCAAAGCATCATCATCATCACATAGATCTTGACTTTTATGTGCAATGGAGGCACCAGCCAATCAAGTCATGTTTTAAACAGTCAATCAAATCACTTTAATGCAGAAGATACAAAGCCAGCATGTTAAAACATGTCATGTGTTTATCTGGTTGTAGATTTTATTACAGAGTACTTCTCTTTAGCATTGTATAGTTAAAATGGCACTGTACCATATTGTGTGTCCCGAGCATGAAACTAACTGCGCTGGTACCAAGCGTCGGGCACATCCACCGTCAAGCCTTAATGCAACACATACGTGTGAGTCAGCGTTAATGTTGCTGTATCTGTCAAGCTTTCCATCCTCAAACATTACGTACTTAGTTACAATGATGTGTGTATTTAAACACAAGTATTTTTAATTTAATATTTAAATTGAACAAATATGCTTTTAATTTCTAGGGGGTGGTCATGAATTGTGTTGACTAAACAGTCCCTCGCACATTCTACAACCTGTAGCTAGTCTGCAGTCCTAGTGTTATAGTGCAATACAAAACTTCAGTTTTAAAAGAGAGGCCTGGAGGATAAGGTTAACTAATAATTGCAAATATTTTGTTTAGAATTGCAAACCAATTAAAGAGTGGGACAAAGCTGCTATTGTTACTCTCTGAAATCTGATACAACACACTTGACCTCAATGTTCCAGGTCTTGGAAAGATATTTTTCCAAAGGTAAATGTATGCACACATAATATTAAAGTTGGCTGACGGTGCCCTTGACAGCTAGTTAGCTGGGTAATGTTAGACAAGATAAACATGCACTTGAAATCTTTATACCTTTATGGTTTTTGTCTTTGGAAAACTGATTAAAAAAACCATTCATTGGTAGCCTTGAATAAGGTTTAACGAAAACCAAAAAATATTTATTAATTTATATTACATATAGCATCACTGCTCTGAGAAAAAGATCAAGTATTATTGATTATATCTGTTAACACAGCGACACCCCTGCTTCAAAAACACTTTTTAAAAACTACTCTCTGGGCCGTGGTCTTTGGCCCCAAAGAGATCAATTTACTGTGGATCACAGTGATTCACAGGGTCCATGTCTACCTGTATGAGCCCATTTTTTTCTCCACACATCTCCCATCTCCCCCCTGTAGTCAGGCAGGCCGCTCTGACAGGCAACACTTTTCTCTGTAACCTCCCTTGACAGGGTGAGAACATATCCATCAAACGTAGGCTACAGCGACAGACAAGCTCAGCACAAGACAACCCGTCAGACGAGGCTGTGCTCCTCTCTGCACAGCTTTGCCCTCATTTCATCTCTCTCCTTACGTTTTACACTATTTTTGACTCTTCAACCTTCACCAACTCCCTTTTAGATCAATATTTCTGTTACTCTCATACGTATGTGTGTTTGAATTTGCTGGTTCTCTCGCACTCACTGTGTCCGTTTCACCTCACATTAAGCGTGAAAGGTTCGATTCGAGATAACTTCTCCAAAGTCTTGCATCACAAGCCAGGAATTTTGCTCTTTGCTTTGTGACTTTTTCTTTTAATCGTAAAAACTCTCAGTGTCATCTCTTTGTTTTTGCAGATGTACAATGCCCGTCCTTACAAGTGGATGAGTGGAAGTTTCCTCAGACGACCAGGCACAACATCACTGGTGAACCGACTCAAACTCAAGCAGGCATACATCCTCCTCTGATTTGTATTTATGTGGGTGCTGATGAATGCCCTTTGTTTTGTCAGGTTTTAATCTGGTGAGGCGATTCTCCCTGCTCAAGAGTCCAGATGTCAAGAAGATCCGCAACCCGCGAGGACCCATCATCCTCCGCCTGGGCAAGGTAGCACTCCTACGCCCCACCGAGTGAGTTTACTCCACAACTGTCCCACACTATGCACGGCTCCTCCATACTGACACAACACATGCAATAAACACTGTATACAGCTTTAGGAAGCAGAGAGTGAATTACAGGAAGAGAAGTAAAGCAACTTCTCTGCTGGATTTCCAAGCTTTTGGCTTATGTCGAAGGCCTCTCTCTTTTCATGCTGTTTCTGAACAAAGAGAAAGACGGAGTGACTGAACACCCTGCGGCTGATCAGCCTCTGAACTCTTACTCATCGTGTCAGCACTGTCCACTGGCGGTTGTGTAAAAAAAAAAAAGCAGACACTTGGCAAACCATACACTGTGGGTCAGTCTCTGATTACATTTCCAGAAATACCACTTCATTTCCCAGGCTTGTAAAACTGAACCGTAACAGCCCATTGGTTTTCCGGTTGTGACCGCACTTAAACAAGTTGACATAATTACAAGATTCACACAATTTGCTTGTGCACAATCTATCGTAGTGACACTTGCATTAGTGGGCATTATGCATTGTGAGTAACACAAATATAAAAGGCTTGTATTTAACTTGTTGCCGGGCAGAGAGACTTCCAGCCATGAAATCCAACAGAGCACGGCTTCCTTACTCATGGCTCTGCAGCATGATATTGGTGTTGTTATGCTTTCTGGGCTTTCATGTTGTTGTTACACACTAGTTGGGTGCAGATTGTGTTTTTTGGGAATTGCGGGACAAGTGCTTACTAGGGTTATGTGCTGGCTGTTTTTCAGTCCTCTTTCTGTTGTCGTTTATTTTTTGTTTCAGCTCTTGTGAATCATAGCGGGACTTTCAGACGGCTGAGCTTCTTTCTACCCACCGATAAAGCAGTTTTTCAGAACTTGCCAATTGGGTCAGCCTGGAGTATTTTATCACTCTGCCCAGTGCTGTGAGCTCCACTCGCTTGAAGGCCCAATAAATCTGTCTACAAAACACTAGGTTTTGGAGACATTTTGTTCTAAATGTGTCACATATATTGTTTGTCACAGGCTTAGAGAGTAGTTGTTCATATGGAAAATGGGGAAGAGGACACCAAAAAACTGTCACTTCTCAGGAACTCAGTGTCTTTGGAAGCAAAGAGGAAAAATCAAAGATGTTTTTGTTTTTGCCTCTAACCAAAGAGAGAGAGGACGGGAACGCCGCTCTCTATCTCCTCTTTGCCGCTGGTTTGGAATTTTGTAACGTGCAGCGTTTATTGAAATTTTGAAGCCATTGAGAGCTTTGCTGTCAGTTATATCAGCGCAGAATACTACCTTGGTGACATCTTTTTTTTTGTACCTCAGACAGAGAATAATCAATGTTAGCACATCAGCCCTGCCTGTTCGGCTGCCTTTTGTTCTGCTTCTCTCTATACATAGAACTCCATGTCCTATAAACAAAATCAGATGAGACTCGTTGGCTTTTTTTTGCATTTGCCTTCTCTCCTTTGCCTCCTTGCCTTGCCAAAAATCCGGGAGGACTCTCTATCAACATCACTTAGTCATAATGCTCCTTTTCATTGTTTATTTAGTTTGGATTTTTTTCCACGTTTGCCTATTTAAATCGCTGTGTGCCGAAGTGTTTCAGGCATTAAGAAAGGAAGAGTGGAGGCGGAGAACAGATGGACGATTAAGGGATGTAGTGGCGAGGGAATGAGGGTTAAAGGTTCAAATCCAGGAAATGAGTGAATGCATCAGAACAACAACCCTCAGGCTTGCTCTATGGCTTTTTGCTGTTTGTACACTTGGCATGTTGTTCGTGTGCATGTGTGTGGGATTGTAAAATCTGCATGTGTGAGTGTATGTACAGTATATCTGCATTTGCAGAGCTCGGAGTATGTACTGAATTTCTGAAACTACTTCAAACTTCACTCGATGTGTGTATAGTAATTGTAAAGCACCGTAATTGTAAAGTGCTGTTTTGCTTTGTATCAGAAGCTAAACCATTCAGCTAATCCAAGCTAACACAGTGACAGCGACATGAAGCTACTTGTCCCCTCGCCTGTCACAGTCGTCTGCTGTGAAATGATCACCAGTCATAGCCGGCATTTTAATTTCAGCAGGATACGAGCTGATTGCCTGGAGTCTGTTTCCTTTATGCAGCAGCTACAGCGTGTGTGTGGGTGAGAGAGGAAGCAATTCTGTGATGTTGTGGCATATGAGGCCAAGTTCACAACTATTTTTGACCGAAGTGAAATGTATTAAATGAAGATAACACTTATTATCACACAGCAAAGGTAGCACTATATTTATTTTTCACATTAACACATTTTGCTGCCCCTCTCTTACTCTGAAGTTAGTTAATAGGTACGACTGTACAATTTAAAAGATTAACAAAATGTTTACTAAATAATAAGAACACAAAGGTGAGGTCTCCGTTGCCTTTAAATATATAACTGTGGTCATGAAATCAGAAAAAGTGGGATAAAGAAAAGCTAAGGAGAGCCATTTTATTTTTAGAGAGTAAATCCAGTCGGTACATTGGGGATATGAGTCACTTTACTTTTTATAAAAATAATTCAGCTTACATCTGCAAAAGAGGGATGATTGTCAGTCGGACTAATGTTGAACTTGAGGAACAACAAGCCTGTCTAAAGTCAGTGCTGCTGATTTTGGTCTGTGATCTTGTATAATTTATATCAACCTTTATTGACCCAGATGATTTTTTTGGCTCATGCATTCATTAGCTCATTTCTGTCAAACATGGAAAATGTTTGCCTTTTGCTGAATTGTTGGATTTTAAGTTTGGATAAGCCAATGTAAGCATGCTAATATAGCAAACTAAAAGGGTGAACTTGGTAAACACTTGTATGTTCGCGTGCTAACAAATGCGTTTAGCTCAAAGCTCTGCTGTGCTCCAGCCTCAAACAAGCTTGCAAGGATGTTGACTTTTACCATTGTTTGAATATTGGGCAGTTTTATTCCTGCAATTTTAAATTTTAGTCAGATTATCAGAACAGAAATACTTGATATCAAGTTTACTGAAAATCTACATTCTGAGATTTGCAACCAGAAAACCCAGAGACAATTATTCATGCCACTTAGATTGAACTCTGCTATATACATTTCCATATTTACCCTCTCAGGATTTAACAAGTAAATATAAAATTGTGCTCAGGGCCTAAAAAAGGCTTGGACCAGGGGTGATAGCATGAATAAACCATAAATACCAGTGGATGCATGGATGGATTTTTGAGGTAAATGTTGTTGTTTGCTAAGGTAATTGTCTTTCTAAAGTTGTATACATACATAGCCTACATACAAGAAATCATAGATAGACAAAGGGAAAATGTTGCAATGTGTAAAAACATTGTGTATTTAATTTATCTGTTTATAATGCAGACATGGAAAGACTCTCCATCTTTTTCCAAGCTCTCCACCGAAGGCCACACAAATAGAGTACATAGCCTCTCTAGGTGCTTTTCCCATCTTAAACCAGAGATCTGCTTTTTCAACATTAGATTTCCTCTCCCTCTCTTCCCCTGTGCCTCTTTGGCTCACACCAACTTTCTTCCTTCTCTCCTTTTTTTAACAAGTGACGCAGAATGAAGTTTCTCATAGAGTTGGGAGAGGTTAGATCTCAATGTGTCTGGTGCATACTGAGTGATTTACAGTACAGTATCTCCCCGTTGCATATTTGTGTGGGTGGTTGCATGGGGTGTTATGTATTATCGATGGCAACTAAATGGAAGAGGTAAGGTGAGTTTCTTTCAACCTAAAAGTCAATAGTTTGTGAGTGGTTTTGTGCCCTGCAGCTCATGTTACTAATCGACAGCAAAACAACTCTATTTTCAAAATTGGGTTCTCGCTTTCTTTCTCCTCTTTCTCTACGTCTGTCTTTCCAGCAGACACCTTCTCTTTCCTCACTCTTATTGTTTACCTACATACTGCAAAATGGATTTGTTAATATCAAACTCTCACGCATTCTCCTACGATACCCAGAATTTCTTGATCCCTTGCTTTACTCTCCTCTCTCTCCCCTTTTCTATCTTTCCTTTTATTAATATCCTCTCTCCAGGTCTTTTGGTTCAATGTTTTCTCTCTCTCACCTTTTTCTCCTCCTCATCCTCTCTTTGTTTTGACATCCGGTAGTTGGCTGTTTTCCCTTGGATCTTCCCTCAGTCATAAATCACTGTCACCCCACTTCTAGGAGTGGGAAACCAGCTGCCAGCATCAACAATTAGGTGTGTGTGTGTGTGTGTGTGTGTGTGTGTGTGTGTGTGTGTGTGTGTGTGTGTGTG